GCACTTCACTAGGCACCACCGGCATTTAGAGGAAGGACACACCAGCAATTTAGCTACAAATTAGGAAAACGACAGTCAGGAAGCCATCAACATTTTAAGTTGTTTTGATTTCATGTTTTAATTCAGCTAAAGACTAAAATGCTAAGGATCCATTTGAAAACCTCAAACAGGAGCAGGGACCACAGCAAGCCTCACAGAGACTTTGCACTAGTAACTTGTACTATTCAGTACAACAGAGATGAGTTTCACAAAGGCAGTAACTCAAGAGCCACAGTAGAAGTCATACTTACAGTGTTTCCGTGGTGTGATGAGAAACAGTAGCCTTGAAACAACAGTAGTCAGCCACTTGGAGAAAAAGAAGTAAATTCTGGAACAGGCTGCAGGTGCTCGGCAGCTGCTGGATGCTCTGAAGATGCCAGGATTACACTGCTCAGGGACGACTCTGCCACTGGAAAGCAGCAGCAGCAGCTGCATGAAGTCGGGTCAGTGGGAAGGCGGGAGGGAGCCCTGGCGGTGGCAGCCCCACCTCTTTCTGCAGCAGGCACCGAGTATCAGCGAGCCTTGGCTGGAGTCTCACCCGTGACTGTAGCCTATGAAGGAGCTTACTCAGGTGTCTAATTGTTTCTTCCATGCATGTTCTTACAATACGCCAGTTGCGATGGCTCATCAGATACTGAAGTGCAATATCTTGTTCCAGCTGCTGTGGGTTTTCCATGTGTCTGTATGTTATGAGTTAACAAAGCCAGACCAAGTACACTATAAAAAATAACTTCTATATCCTGCTAGTAAAATGAGCTTAAAAACGGATAAGGGTGCCAATGGAAGATGATCTATTAGTGCAAAGTCTGCTCCTAAGGGCAAACTTCCTTTGTTTGCAATTCTGTTTCTCCCTCAGTTCTCGCACTCAGCAAGCTGGATTTCAGGACCCTGTTCTAGGTATCTGTTGTGCCAAATTCAGGACAAGTTGCCCCAAACTGAATTCTACAAGGATGAGGATTATTGCAGCTATCTTGTCTTACGTAATTAAAGTTTAGATTTCTCAACATGTACATTCAAATCACCTCTCAGATCACCAAGGAAAATGGATTGGGACGTATTCTGAAATGCAGATTATTTTGAGAGAACTCCTCCTACATTGCATGCATGCTTTTTAAACTCTGCAAGAAGACTTTCACTTTCAAGGAAGGTCATCAATCTTTCACCTTCAAAGGCACTAGAGTGTATTCAGTCTGTCAGTGTAAAACCATCAGCAGCCAGCATCATTAACTTTGAAGCATTTTTGCAAATACTTCAAAATTATGTGCTTCTTTCTAACCTGCTGCAGTTTGATGTCATTATAACTCCATATGTAGCTACCTCTCTTTATGTCACACATTCCTGCAGCTGGGGATACGCAACAAAACCTGTTATGAAAAATGGCAATGCTATTGATCACACCTCAGAAATGTTTCTTCTGCACTAAAGGACTGGATCTGAAACACCGAAGTCCCCCACTTCACTGGTGTCTCAGTGCAGCTCATCATTGTGCAAGGGGAGTTCATCACCTGAGAACTGCTTAAGGGATGTCCCAGCCCCTTTCCTATTGCAGATAATGGAAAGAAGTTGTTTTACTTTCTCCTTTCCTACTGAAGGCTGAAAGTGGCTCTTGTCAAGAGAAAAAGGCTGGGACTTCCTATGGCCTGTGCCAATGGTACCACAGTGGTACTTATAAACAAATGCTCTGAATGTCACCCGTCTGGTGACTGCCTCACAGAAATGACATCTCTGTAAAGGCTGTTTGAAGGCTCACAGCGGATGTCAGATGTCTGAGGCACTGGCAAGACTTGGGCTCCCCCACAGCTTTGCTCCTTCTCATTAAACACATGAAATTTCAAAAAGCTGCTCTTCATAATACAATGAAAATGCTGCATCAGGCACGCAGCGGGAAATCACTTCCCTCTGCAACACTGGGTGCATGTAGAAATCAAACCCCAGTGAACCATGCACAAACCCCACAGCTCTCTTCGAGGTTGTGTATGTTGTTTGACATTTGTAACTCTTCTGCATGAGATGCTGCCTGAAGGACCGTGGTCTGCTCTATGGCAGGAGAAGGTTGACGTAACTAAATTGCAGCTGCTCCTTTCTTGAATTCAGGTGTCACCCAACAGCTCAGGACTGTGATTTAAACTATTTTTCTGTTCAGTACATTACCACATGTGAAAAATAAAGTACCCAGAATTGTGATGTCTGAAGCACTTAAGCACATAAAACTGGTAACAGTCCCAGTGCCAGAGAACCTCCTCTCTAAAGGAAGGCATGGCTGATGAGAACATAGGACAAATAAGTAGCAAAATTGGGTCTATTAGAGTTTCACAACATGCTTTGGTGGAACACAACATGACAGGAACAGCCTGTTCTTTCAAGTGGAAATTTAGTAATTTCTGCCATGAAAACAATGTATACAGTACTTAAAGGCAAATACAAACCTGCTCTGAAATGACACCATTCAGAATAACTGGGTATCTTCTGGAAACCTTTCCAGTTAAGCAGTGTAAACACTGCTTCAAAATTTTGTGTCAAAAAAATAAGCCACATTTGAACGTACACAGCTATATGGAAGAAAACATCAGTAAGACTGGAATAGAGTTATCTTATCTCTGAACTCTTTGTATCATTGAAAGGAGCTAAAGCTGTATTAGCTGTAATTACTCCTTGGAATTCTAAAGTAGCATTCACAATGAAGGAGAGGAAAGTGTTTGGAAGGCTGCACAAGGAACCTACCTCTAAGAAAGCTCCTTCGTATCATTAATCAAAATAGCTTTCAGTAAATTTTCAAGTTAAGGAAACCTTTTCCTCTTTTTGTTTGTTTTATGCACTATAAAATGTATTAGCATGATTAATCTCACAGTGAAACAGCCAAAATTTTAAAGCCATTAAAAGGCATATCAAGAAGTGAGTAGCTGGATAACCAGGTGGCCACTGCATCAATTCCTGCTTGTCATTTCATTCCCACTTAAAGCATCCGAGTGCAGTAGCACCGGATGCTGGTCCAAACACAGTGAGTTCATTCTACTCCAACAGCCACTGATGGAAGCCCTCAACCCCTGTTCTTCATACTGCAGATTTAATTTTATAACCCTCCTCTTGCTTTTCCTAAACTAGTTAATAAATTCACCGTGTTTAATCTTAAAATGAGGTATTCCCAGAAAACAACTAAAGAAATCAAAATGCTAAGGAACAGATTTTTCTAATCTGTTTCTAATCAGAAAAATCTGTTCCTTAGCATTTTGATTTCTGTACTCCTTTCAAATAAAAAAATT